CCCTTCTCCAGGGGAACATTCCCAGCTCTCCCAGAGCAGAGAGGCTCCAGAATCCTGGAATGGGATGGGAAGGAACTTTCAATCCCATCCCATTCCCACCCTTTCCATAGGCAGGGACACCTCTCACCACTTCCATGGATGAGGATTCCACAACTCCCCCAATTCCTGGAGTCACAGAACGATTTGGGCTGAAAAGGACTTCAAAGTTCCTCCAATTCCCACCCCTATGGATAAAATCCATGGAGAAAGGGCCCATCCCACCTTGAATTCCCCCACCACCGAGGGGTCATCGCTGGAATCCTGGGATCTCCCCCGGAACAGCTTGAAGGTGTGGCAGAAGTCGGAGAGATGCTCAAATTCCTCAACGTTTTCCAGCTCTGTCTCGTAGACCTGAGGAGGAAAAGATGGAGCAGGGAAAAAATTCCAACCAAATTCCTCCATCCTGGGAAAATTCATCCCACGGGGAGAAACTTGCGGGAATTTTGCCCCTGATTATTTCCCTTTGGGGCAGTGAGAAGAGAATTTGGGAATCCCACAAGAAATTCCAGTCCATCCCAATGACCCAGACAAAGCCAAGTTCTGCTGGTGGGTTTTTCATGGATGGAGATCTTCCAGCTGGGAATGTTTTCCTTAAAACCAAGGAAAATCCTCCCTATTTGGGAGTTTGCATTAAATTTAACATTTCTTGTGCCTAAATCTCCCTCTTCCCTGAGAAATCCCTGATTTTCCTCATTCCCAAACCCTTCCCAGGGTGGAAGTTCCCCACTGCTTCCACCACTTCCCAAGAGAAAATCTCTGGAAGTTCCTCGAAAGGATTTTTCCAAAGGAAATGGAATTTTCCACACCTGGGGAAAAATGTTTCACTTTTTGTTTGTTTTTTTTTTTTTTTTTAAACCTGGATGGAAAAAAAAACAAAAATCCCAAGGAAATCGTGGAGAGTGGAATTCCAAGGATCCACACCTGACAGAAGCCACTCACCTTCAAGGTGTCAAATCCCTTTTCCAAGTAATATCCACATTTTTCCCTCTCTCCCGTGGAAGCGTAAAATTTGCTCCACCAGTCGATGAATTCCTCCTCCTGCAGCCAGAGATCCCAAAGTTACTCATTTTCCACCAAAAAAAAAAAAAAAAAAAAAAAAAAAAAAAAAAAAAAAAAA